AAGTAAGTATATAAACATTAAGTGAATTAATTAAGTTGCTATAAATAGACCATAAAAGTGTAATTAATGAATAATCAGAGGATTTGTATCATTAAAAAAAAAAAAAAACAGAAATAATTCACGCCATAGGTATAGGCTACTGTTGTTTGGATTAAACTGGAACCGTATATAATATAGGATATATATTTTGTACACTGAAGCAACCAGTAGCGTACGCCGTGGAGTGTCAGGGAGATATGACACCCCCCTTAAATAATTTAAAGTACCTTTTCTAATTATGAAACAATGTCTAAAAAAAAAAACATTATCAATTAAATCTAAACAAATTGTTCCATGCACATAGGAGTCAAGACGAAAAATATGTTCCAACCTCAAACGTTCATAATAACCGCGGCGTAATTTACATTGTTAACACCATGATAAAATACATTTATTGTCATGTTTAATATATTATTGTTTAAATTTTCTTATTTGTTGACTAAATAAATTATTTTCTAATGCAACTAAGTATAAAAAATGAAAATATTTGACAATTTTTTATATTATTGATATTAAAGAAGCTCTTTCAAGGTAAATTTGAATTTTTGATGTATTTAATGATTAATTTTAACTTCATAAAATAACTTATTAACTATTAATTAATTATTAAGCTAATTGGATAGATTTAATATTTGTAAACAGAAAACATATTTTGCATCCACTTGCATATTTCAAGATGCCGGGCTTAATTTTACGAAATACAGCTTTATTGATAATATTTTTTCAATTGCAGAAATATAATATAATATATTGCAATGTTTTGTGAGTTGTGTCACCTCAAACTGAATTATGCAAGTACGCTTGAATTTAGTAAAACGTTGATCATTGTCATTGCCAATAATGAGTAGCCGTGATCGAGATAAGTATTGTTTCATCCGTCAGAGTTTCAAAGAAGAATGAAAAATTATTAAGAAGAGTATTTAAAGAAATACAAAGGTAGTTTTCTTCAATACCTGACCAAAACTATTAGTTACTAGATTTTACTAGATTCTTAACGTGGACAATTTTTAGGAATAGCATAACAACCTTCAATATATTCCTATTGATTTATGTTTTCAAAATGTTATGAATTCGTAGGCCAAGTTTGGGTTCGAGATCTTAAACTTGTCCTAGGCCCCGCAAAACCTAGAGACGGCACTGGTTATAGAAAAAAAGCTTTTCTACATTAAAAAGAATCAAGACATATCTTCGAAATCCTGTTAGAAGGAGGACATTTTTTTGAGTGATGAGCAAAAAAAAGATCATCAATTTATATATATTATGAAATTCCTCTCGAAAATATTTTGCGTACGCCACTGGAAGCAACGATGATAACCATTACAATTTAACAACTAGTGTTGATTAATAGTAATAGTTGTAGTTTCCTCTTGTATTTATAACATAGAAATCAAGAATATTAACCTTCTGTATTGTCATTTGTTTTCAAGTTTATAATTTTTTTTTTTTTTTTTGGATTACTCTGAGAATTTTGAAAAATGTTTCAAATGAGTTTTCAGAATTTTGAAGGTACGATGTGAACAATTTGACGTATTTTCTCTTAGTGAAAAATTGTCATATGAACTTGTTATATTTCTATCACCTATGCTGTGAAGTATATGCAATTTTTTTTTTTTAAACTTAAAAATATACAAATAAATTTCGGTAAATATAGTATAAACCAATAATATAAGTAAATAATTAAATTTATTTTACATACTTGACCAAAAGAAAGCTCGTACCACAGAACTATAGGCGTACCTTTCTATATAATAAATATATTAATAATTCGATATTTTTATTGCATACACTATAAAATTAGCTAACAAATTGATATTCATAAAATACGTTTTGTGAAAGTATTCATGCAATATCAGTGGTTACATACTCCTAGAAATATTTTTCCCCTTTTAATTATTACCTTGATTTAAAATTTTAATTAAATACAAATTATACTTTAGGCTCATGACCACTACTTACGCCAAAATCCAAATGTCTTATTTTCTTGTATGCATTCTAGAATAAAAAAATATGAGTTCGTTTATAAAAAGTAATTAAAAGGTCATATTTGATAGGATCTATGTGTTTTTAATGTTATGACCCTTATCTGTCTCGGACATTTGTATGTTAGTGCTATTAAAATATCATTAGTATGAGTGTTCTAAAATATTATCAATTTACTATTAATTTCTGTCCGCGCTCACTGCACCTACGTTTCCATGCCCAGTAATAATGCCATGCCCAATAATTAGGCCAAGGATTTCTATGCAATTTTATGATTTTTTCTTTAGCTCAAATTGCTCACTTTGGTAGATGTGTCCGCGATTTAAATTATTCTTGATTAAATAGAATAAATTTTTTTCCATATTTTGAACATAATGCATCTTATAATATTTCCACATTTAGATTTTTGAGTATTATATGAATTTTAGTATTTATTTAATGGACGTCTGTATAATTATTGTTTTATTTTTCGAATTATCATAAATATTAACTTGGATTACTAAAACATTATTTAACGGCATATATTTTGAGACAGTGCAAAAGTACTAACAAATAATATCGAACATCGACCGCATAAGTTATTTTTTATTAGCTCGAATTCTATTGCCATTTAGGTATTTATATTTAGTATAAATAAAAGAACTTTGTTTTAGCATTTTTTGTTTGCATATTTTAGTAAATGAACTGCATATTATAATATTTATTGCATATAAATCCTAAAACTATTAATAATAATATTTTTTGTTTCTATAAATTATAACGTCGTCGTTGTTGTCAGACGACGGTCTGTATTTCATAAGGGCGCTCGGAGGAGAAAATTCAGGGAGGGGGATAGCCTTAATTTTTACTAATATTCAAACACTTTTATTAATGTATTCCTATGTGTATTTTCAAAGTATTGTGAATGTAGTATAATATTCGATTTTACACTTATAGTAAATAATTAAACATAAATTGCAATTTTATTTTATTTTTTCCAAATGTATCAATTGTAGTTTCCTTAATCATTCAGTTAAGTTATACATCGTTGAACATTCTAATTTTTTCCGGACAGCCGCGTGGAGCTAGTACGTTGCAAGCAAGCCGACTAAGAATATCATGAATGCCATTACAGCCACATGTTACAAAATTCAGTTATGAATCTTACTTTTAAATTTTATCATGGGATCTGTTAATCTCTTCAAATTATCATTTGATCCTATAAAAATAACATTTATTTATATTTCATGAGTTTATTAAGAACTAATATATTTATAATAAAAAATGATGAACAATTTCAATATATTTATACGCACTGATCGTGTGTTTGCAATGTTCGTTCAGAGAATCTAAATACTCTGTATGTCCTACAAACAAAGGAAAAAAGAACTAATACTGAGGACAAATGTTGTTACTGTTGTAGATGAGTATNTATTGTCAAGCATTTATCTTTAGTCAAACAATTTTATTCACAGAGTACCTCCTAAATAAAAATTACGTTGAAAAATTGCAAAATTAAAATGTCTATAAATAAGATTTCAGTCTCAATTTGAAGTCTTTATTCATATTTTTAACTGAATTTCATTAAGAACTAAATTTAAAATAATGTTCCAAAAGAATTATTTTCATAATTGTCCAGTACTTTCTATGCAATTTTCGGGTTTGCTGGAAACATTTTAAAACAGAAAGAAAACAAAAAAAAAAAAACAATTTTCTTGGTCACCAACCAGATTGCAAATTCAAAAAAAGAGATATATTTTTGTTTTTATTTTAGTATTGGAGCAATATTTCTAGTAGTAAATGGATAGCGAAAAAATTTAAGGTAACGAAATCTTAATGACATAAATTTATCAATTTTAAATGTACGTTTTTTTTTTTTCAGTTTTTCTTAGTTATTAATTTTGAAGTATTATGGACTATTACGTGCTCGTAGAAGTCGTTTTTTGTAAAATATTAAATTATCGTAGTAGTTAAGCATCTGAAAGTTATTTTGTTTAACATTCATGCTAAAAATCATAGCAAAACGGGGACGGGTGGAGCCACGGTTGAAGTTAATTTAATGTATATCTGTAAGGAACGATAAATCATTTATAAAGAAAAAAAATTCTGTGCTAAGTTAATGGTGATGCTTTCTCAACAATATATATTTCATATTATGGTAAAATAATTAAATAGGCATTATATATTTTCATTAGTAATGTTTGTCTAAAATTAATTTAATTTTCGGTGCATTCACCGATTTTCCCGTTTTTCCTAATTTTTTACTTTTTTCACGGCTTTCCTAGTTTTTTTATATTTGCTGGGGAAGCTCTTAAGAAAATCTAAAAATGGCCTCCCTAAGTACTTTTTCAATCAGATTTTCTTTTAGAAAAATTTGCTATCCTAATAAATTGGAACAAACTTGCCGGTAAAAGTTGTCCACAGAAAAAAAGATAGCCGTAATATTTTTAAAAAAAGAAAAGTTGTAAACAGCTAAACAGAAAAGCAGACAGCAGCATAAGAAAAAACAACATCTTTGTAAAACCATAAGCTTCTTCGCTCTACTCAGAATCTAAAAGGATTTTTAAATTATTAATTTATAATTCTAAGTATCGAATCCGTGAAGTAATACATTAGTTTTAAAGATATTTCCCGAGAAGGTATGAAAAAAATAATATGTTTTTTCTAAAATAAATGAAAATTTACAACTAAGGTAATAGTTACCTATCTAAAATCACTGAAGATCGATGAATGAATTAATATTATAGTTTGAGAATTTTTTGATAAATGATAACCCAACAACTTACCCATTGTCATTTCTCTATAAATATATGATACATATATTTTTGAATAAACTAAAATAAAATAAAATAATAATACATAGGTAATTCATATTCTCTTAGATATAAACACATTTTACTGATTTATATTATAAAATTGTAGTTTATTTACTCGAGGAGTAAAATCGATAGAACCACAATAATATTTTTTTTAAAAAAAATATTACCTTTTCATGAAGCTTTTCAAATATCCACATATATAAAAACTAAGTATACATAATAATGCCTAAAATAATTAAAATACTTACATTCTAATCCGCTATAATCTAAATAAACGATGATAATATATAATTTATATATAAAAAAAATATAACATTTAGTTTCTTTTGTATTTTGTTTTGAATATTAGTTTTACAACAAAATTGATCCCATCACTATTTAATCCATACTATAATATATTATATAATATTTATAATATAATAAAGAGAACAGATTTCTTTGTATGTTTGTAATGGATGAGTTCAAAAACATCTTAACCAATTTTAAAACTTCTCTCTGCTATAAAAAGCTACATTACAATTGAGTATCATATGCTGTATTTTATTTTAAAAAAAAATTGTAGATCCCTACAAAAATTGCAATAAGTAGATTTTTAGGTATTTTTGGTAAGAATATATAACTGTTTATTTATTAATGAACACCTAACAAACATGTTATTCCCTTATTCGTAAATCTTGATCAAGAATCATCTGCTAACTTATTCTCTATACACGTCTTTTCAGTCTTTCACCGAACAATAGTCTCTAACACTCAGACTGCACAGCCTAATTTACAATTTTTACAATTCGATCTATCTTCTACCTATACTTTCTCTTTCTATGATGTACTTTTGACGCTTGAAAACCTAAAAAATAACCACTCCAATTGTCTGGATAGTATTTCTGCAAGCCTCGTTTACAATTGCCGTAATTTCTTGTCTTTATTTTTCTTCCAACTTAATTGATAGTCCTTCAATAGTGATATTTTCCCTGACGTTTGGAAAATCTGTTCTATTACTCTGATTTTATAAACAAGAGATCCATCCAATATTACCAATTATCGGCCTATATCTATCCTACCTTATCTAGGCAAAATTGTTGAACTAATTGTGCTTGAAAATATTAAAAGATCTTTTAATCATGTGTTCATTAAAGAGCAACATGGGTTTTGTCACCATAAATCTACTATTACTAACAGTGTTGTATTGGAAACCTGCATTTGCGATTTCTTTGTAGCAAGTAATCATGTTGATGTTATACTACTGACCTCAACAAAGCATTTTATATATTCATCCATGAACTATTCATTAACAAACCGGAATGTTTAGGTGCTGGTTATTCACTGTTATCTTGGTTTAAATCGTATATCACTGAAAACAATTTGTTTCTGTCTAGGGCTTCTATTCTGAAATTTATGCTGTTTCTTTAGGTGTTCCTCAGGGTGGCTACTTAGGCCCATTATTATTCTCTATATTTGTAACTCCTAATCCCAGTGGCTTAAAAAGGTTGAAATACTGCTTTATGCTGACGATATAATAATATTTCATACAATTAGCTCTCCTGGCGATTCATTACTGTTCCAAAAGCAAATTAAACATATTCTCCAAATGGGGTTCCCATCTAGAATTATTTTTGAATTTAGCTAAGTGTCATATTATTTCCTTCTCCAGAGCTCGTTCTATCTTGCTATTTTCTCAATGGCTCTAATTTAGAATGCGTTTACAGCATTAAAGATCTAAGATTTAATTACTCGACAAAACTCTTTTTCAACCCTCACATCGCCATTGTAGTTAGTAATGCACTCAAAACTCTCGGGTTTGTCATCCTGAATCTAAATTTATATAAATCTGTTGAGTGTTTACGCACTTTACATTTTGCTCAAGTTCGTTCTTAACTAGAATACAGATCAGTAGTCTGGAAGCCATAAATAGCAAAGGATTTAATTTGTCTGGAAAAAGTACAAAATAAATGTTTAAACTACGCAGACTCGATTTATCCATGTGTAACGTACAAAAACAATCATCTGAGATAAGCCTTGCATATCTGTGGACTCTTCTAGTTGTAATGACAACCATGTACTCAAATTAACTCTTTTGATTAGTTTATATACTACCCATTCAGAAATGTCGTCGATTCTACGTGGAACTGTATTATTTAAAAGCGATAACTTTTCAACTTCTTTAAACTTTTTTGATCAAACATGATCCCGATTGCGTCTTTTATTGATGGTAAAATTAAAGACTCTCCAATTTTGTGAGGCTTACCAGTTTGAGCAATTTATAAGTAAAATTATTTTATATGAGGCGTATGTAGCTTTTTGGTTAATTGCAGTAAAATTAAAAATATTATTTTTTGATTATTTTAGAGATTCTAGTTTTCTTCCTTAAAATCGAGTGGTTTATTCTTCATTTCTGGATAGTTCGTATCTATATGTCGATGTAGTTTGTTTGATCGAATACTCTCATTTGTAAGTATACATTCACAAATAACACATTGTGGACGTGGGTGTTCTTCATCTCTATTCCACGAAAATCCAATTCGCAAATATTCAGAACAATATTTTCTTAAAGAATATTTTTGCTTCGACTCAGAAGAACATATTGAAGGCTCAATAAGCTGAGTGCGAGTGCAAATGCATTAGATTTACTGTCTATTGAGAATGACAAAGCATTTTTAATAGCCCAGAGACAGAAAGGTCGACCTGGGTCGTTGCATGGTATTGATCAAAAAATTATAAAAAAAGAAAAAACCATAGAAGATTTCAAACAAGCGACAAATAAAAGAAAATATTGTGCCCGTGATGAACTTGAAGCTTTGTGTACGTTTTTAGTCAATAATATTAATTTTGATTTCAATAAATGTGTAATAATATAAAATTAATTTCAGATAAAACTGTAGAACTACAATCGTCGAGCAGTTCTGACGAATGTGACGATATAGATAGTTAGGAATTTATACATGAAGATGCTATTGGTCCATCGAGTAAATTTTTCAAATTAATCAGAGGGTACGATGATTTATTCTCCAAAAAACTCACAACTGTATTGGACAAATGTAAAGTCAGTGACAGGAATGCTATACATCTTTTAATTGCTGCTGCAGAAGCTTTGGGTAATAATGTTAATACACTTATTATAAACCGGTCTTCAATTTGATGCGCTCGTATAGAATATCGTAAGGAACGTGCCGAAAAAATACGTCGGGACTATAACTTGGCAAACGAAGAGGCAGTTATTATACACTGGGATGGGAAACTTCTTTCAACATTAACGGGAAAAGGATTAGTTGATAGGCTTNAGATGCTATTGGTCCATCGAGTAAATTTTTCAAATTAATCAGAGGGTACGATGATTTATTCTCCAAAAAACTCACAACTGTATTGGACAAATGTAAAGTCAGTGACAGGAATGCTATACATCTTTTAATTGCTGCTGCAGAAGCTTTGGGTAATAATGTTAATACACTTATTATAAACCTGTCTTCAATTCGTCGCGCTCGTATAGAATATCGTAAGGAACGTACCGATAAAAATATGTCGAAATAATAACCTGGCAAAAGAAGAGGCAGTTATTATACACTGGGATGGAAAAGTTCTTCCAATATTAACGGGAAAAGGATTAGTTGATAGGCTTCCTATAATAGTTTCCGTTAATGGTCAGGAACAACTGCAAGGTGTTCCGACGCTAAATACTGGAACTGGACTTGAACAAGCTAACGCAGTATACCAAACACTTGTAGATTGGTGTCTAGATTTATTTATTTATTTATTTCGTGAACAATTTTATTTAACGCCAAAAGAAGAAAATGCTTAAAGAAGTATTTGCGTTTTTATTGTACGATTATACATAAAAGTATGGTTCAACTCACCATCTTCAATCAAAGCACCATTACAAGACTTGAATTTTATAAAAAGTCTTTCACATTATACCTCTATAGACAAAGATATATCTCAGATTGCAGTTAAAAAGTTTTGTGGTCACTTATGGTATTTATCTGCAGAATTATGTGCTTTTGCTTTTTTCGATGAAACTGTGCCACTGGAGATAAAAAAAAAAAATGGTTCATGCTCTAAACTACGACGAAAGTTCATCAGAATTAATTTCAAATGCACAACGTTTAATTATATCGCCAAAAAATGCAAATGAGTTATTAGAAAAGGAAATCGATGATTTTATATGTGTTAATACTAAAACACTATTTAAAAGATTTTCCATCAACACCATTTTTTTGAATGAAGATCCAATTAATTGGGAAAATAATGAAGACTATTCTAAAGCTTTGTTAGTTATAAAAAATATTCCAGTAATAAACGATGTACCAAAAACGAATCTCAAAAACAATACCTTCTACAAGTTGTTAGTGATTACCGCAAAAAATATCCTGACCACAAAAAAGAAACACTTACTGCACTATCACAATAATTTGGTTTTATCATTTATAATTAAAATATATTACAGATAAAATAATTAGGTAACAATGTTATTATAATTGTAAATTGTTATTATAAATAATTATTAGTTGTATTTTAAGTTGCCTTAAATATTAAAATGTTTAAGATTATTCTTGTTTTTACCTTGTAATTAAAATATTTGAAAAAATAATATATTTGCAAAATATTATATATGAAACAAATTGTAGAAATGTAGTGTTCTATCTTTTATATTTTAACAAATTTTTTGTAAGTATTTTTTTCCTGGAGTTATATTAAAAAAAATTTTAAAAATTGATTATATTCAAAATTTTCTATTTTTTTAAATTTAGAGGTGTTGTGGCACGGGTTAATATTAATGAATTTCCCTGAAACTATTTTTGTAGCGTTTTTTTATAGTAATCGAAACTTTTTAGGGGAGGGGGGTAACCTGAAAAAAATCACAAGCGAAAAATAAGGACCACCCTAAAGCTCATCGTAATTAAATTTTCTTTTTTTAACTTTTGACGAAGATATTGTTTCTGTTTATTTTTAACTTTGTGTCATTGACTATTTATTTAACCATTTGTCCACAAGTGTACAAAAGTACAAAGAAAACAAAATTATTTGAGAAAAAATAATATTAATTATACAACTGCGCACACGTATCGTATTCAATATACCACGTGTTACTGAATATAATAAAAAGTTTTGAACGTCTTGCAGATACCTACTAATTTGTGTTTTCTGATAAATCATTATCTTTTCAATAACTATTAATCTAATTGCATCGTTTTGACTCGGTCTCTGTAAACTCGTAATCGTCACACTCACAGATAAAGATTGACGATAAAACTGAATTTGAACAACAATGAAATGTAATAGATGTTTAAAAAACGTAATATTTAAAAATATAATCGCGACCCACTTTTGGGTCGCGATCCACAGTTTTGGAACCTTTACTCTAGAGCTCCTAATTCCATATTCCAATGCATAAAACTAACTTCGGTCACAACCATTTGTTGCATCGAATACTAAGATCTGCGAATAACATTTATTGCCTTAGGCCACCTTACCATTATTACTGTCTTATCAATATTATACAATTATCATAGTTATATTGCAATTTGTATTTTTTTATCTACTATTTTAAATATATACATGTGTATTTTTCTATTTTATATCTTATTTTTTTTCTTTCTTATCACCTGTTATAATAATCATAGTAAATAAATATATAAATCAAAAATATATACATAAAAATAAAAATAAATAAATAACTGCGCTCCCCGGAGTGTTATCATAAGTGATTTATACGATCAGTTTCGAATTAAAAATTCATCATCAGGTGTATCACAGTCAAAATATAAAACGCAACTTTTATATTTTTATGAATACATTTTGTATTTATATATTTATGTATTAACTATTTTAATAATTTTGTTTTTACTTTATTATTTTATTACCTATAATAATTGTAATATAGGCTATTTAAATTATAAAGTTCCAATTATTTTATTTGTATTATATTTGTACTTTTTATAAAAAGTCACCCATTTCCCGATTTCATGATACGATTTTATTTAATTTTAGAAAACACGTCTATTATTTTGACGATTCGATTGACAAAAATAAATTTGTCGAAAATTGATTTATGTCTAATTGCTTTTGGACGACCTGCACTTACGTTCCGTGTTATTGGTACAAATTTAGAATTTGTGTAATAAATCTCGTGGGAGATCATGTCAATATTTAAGTATATGGTTTATGATTTGACAATTAAACTGAAATAAAGAAATTGTATGAGCTATTGTAGGTTATAAGGTCAAAATTTCTTATTACGACATCTTTGACAAATTTAATAACAAAATGCTTAATTTTCTAATAAAGTACACTGACCTTTTTCGGCGTTAAACATTTTTTCGGCACAATTTCTGGCATCGTTACAATCTATTTCACATAATTAATCATATATTTAACTTATAATACAAATGCAATACAATTTTCGTTACATGAATGGTATAAAAAAAAAAAAAAAAAACGACTGGTATGAATGGTGAATATAATAACAATCACAACAAAAATACTTTGCCAGCTACGTGTAAAACAATCATTAAATGTAGTTATCAGTTAAGAAGTAAATGTCTCGTAAATGTTCAGTATCATAAAATAGTGTTATCATTTATGATAATAAGTAAAATTTTTGATTTACTTATTGAATGCATAATGCATGATAGATAGAACAAAAATCAAATTTGCTAAACTCTTCTAATATTATGTAAGGTAGTTTAAAGAAATTTTATGCTCTTAGGCAATGCAACGGGAGTAGCGACCCCGGGGCGCCGAGTTACTAAAGGAATAATGGACCAGGCGTACGATTTAAATAGTTTAAGGACACCTTATTGTCCTGAGGTTAAATTATGTCAATGGCATTAGGATTCGGAATACACTGGAAACCACATAATTATTATCTCTAATATATCGTTATGGCAAGCGAAAATGTGAGTGATGTTACTATGTAAGTAATAATCATGGTCTTCGGAAGCCAAGATTCGACAAGGGAAGAAACAACGACAACTAGGCTTCCAAGGTCATCAATATCCGAAATCTTTGTAAGAAGAAGAAGAATGATAACCAAAGCATTAGGAAATCTAAGAAATCTATAAAGATATGTATATACTTAGAATGTGAACATATTATTCTAAGCAGGCAAACTTAACAATATAGAGTGCATTGTTTTATCATAAACCCGCAATTATCTCAGAGGATTTTATGTCAATTTGATTTCTGCTTTTTCTAATTATTATGGAATTTTTTAAGCTTTATTTTAAAATTATTTTAAATTTTGTGTTCTTATTCTATATACCTTAAATAAGTACTTATTTTAAATTTTAAAATAAGAACTCCCCCTTTTGAACACAGCTTTTAAAGGAGAATATTTTTCTAGAATTTTTGATATGCACGATACTCATATCAGATGAATCGTTTATGAGTTATAACGGTTTAAAGTTTCGATCGGCGAAGTAGAGAAGGAAATAAATTGCCTTCTCTAACCCTACCTTATATCTCTGATTAAAATTCTTATAACTCAATAACGATAAATCTGATATTTGTGTTATGCACATCAAAATTTCTAGACAAATATTCTCTTTTCAAGTTTGTGATCTAAAGAANTTCCGTTTTTATTTCAAATTGTAGAAATATCCCAATTCTACTCTTTTAAATCAAGATAGGTAATACATTTCAGATAAATCATCCGATACACAATGACCATTCAAGAATACACATTTAGTATCGAATATATAAAACCTATGTTTTTATGGTATCAGGAAACTCATTAAAATATTAATAATTTAATAATACAAATAGAGGTCATAAAAATAAATTCAACTGTATATAGTGTAACACTTAATATTCCAGGAAGATCCTATGTTTAACAGGATACAATTTTTAATTAATAAATCATCTTATTTAATTTCAAATATGAGGCTAGCAAATAATATATTTTTTATAAGTGAACTCTCTCCCGTGCGTTGAAGCTTTTGAGATGGGGTTATAATGATGAATGCTGAACATTTTATGGACTAATTGTTTTACATTTCAAAGTGTACTGGAAAGAATGGAAAAAAAGAAGGAACTTTTAACACCAATAGAAGATAAAAAGCTAGAATACGTGGGACATATCATGAGGAATAATCAGGGATACAAAATACTCCAGCTTATATTACTAGAAAAAAATCGAAGAAAAAAGAATATCTTGGCTGAAGAATGTCCGTGACAATAAAAAAAATCAATTTATTTATTTCGATTTCCTTGATAAGGACAACATTGTCGATATGACAGGTATTTTTATACTTATGTAAATACCATTATACGAATACTTATATCTTGCAAAATATATTGCAAAAGATATTGCAAAGATATTGCAAAATAATAGGTAAGTAATTTGTATTATTATGCACTCGTTAAGTGAATCGAAAATTGTATTTAACATCGCAAATTATATCACAACTTTATGATTTACATAAACGAGATTCCTAATAACTAGAAACTATATTAAACTTGTTCACCTTGTTTTACAGTGACTTTTTTTCTAATTAAATTAAATTACAATATACTACATACATATTTGGTACACTAAACATTGTGGTACATAATATTTGTTAAAACGAGTCACATAATATAAAATTAGTTCAAATTTCAAACATGCACGACAAAGAATAGAGGTGATCTTCCGATTCAAATATATACATAAATAGAAAAATCAAAAAATGTATTTCACCATGAGCAACTAGATTCAAAATTTCAGAAAAAATGTCTATTCTCATCTTTTGAATAAAACTAAATTTCTAGTAGAAAACATAAGTACAAAAATTTCAATAATCATGAAATAGTTATTTTTTAAATACCTATCTATTTATTTCGAAGTTTTTCCCGATTTATACATATAATTTTGAAATAAATTTGGGAAATCAAAAGACGACCTCTTTCATGAACTAACTATATTAAATTTCTTTTCAGAAAAAGTATTACACTTTATATATTGGAGGATGATTTGTGATAAAAATTGTGTACAACTTACTCTCTAAATCATTCTTAATGTTGCCTGTTAAACAAACAATTATCATCAGCCATTTTTATAATTCTGTTTAAATATTTTCGTCATTGATTATAATAAATAATTAGGTAATTTAATTATTATTGTTTTTAACGAAAATATTTTTAATTATAATATTATTAATATTATTAATTAATAATTATATTATATTATTGTAAATATTATAATTTTGATGATATAGTAACATGAACCTGTATGGAAAATGAATACATTTTCAAAAAAAAAATTGGCTTTCCAGAAAAATGTAATTACCTTATTGCCTATTGTAAGATCATAATAACATTAAACTATTATATAAAAGTAAATCTATGAGACTGACCATCCTTGTCCTAAACTTCTAATTGACTCGATCTTCCGAGTGCGACCCGTTTCAATCAAAATCGACGTTGAATATTGTTCCCAAATACATTTTAGTCATTTCAATATTAAGCTGGCAACGGTTTTTTAATAATAGTTAAAACTCATAAACAATTGTTTTAAAAACATAAATTATTATTTATTGTTTTATAAAGTATTTAGCTTGCACAAAAAAGTTGTACAAAAAACATTTTAAAAGTTCATATTAAATTTTAAAATGTAAATACAAATTATACATTATTAGTTAAAATACAAATCATTATAAATTATTTTTTTATTAAAAATCATCACAAAACACAAGTCATTATTTTTTAGAATTTCTACATATATTGTACACAAATGTATACATATACCTAGTAATTTCACCAGTTCTTTATAGGCACGGATCCAGAGCAAATATCTGGATGAAGAGTGGCCAACAATTTGTTTATAACATTAATAAAATTACAATATCTATGATTCTAATTAAAGTACCATATTATAGTTTAAGTAACCTCACACTATTTGTGATTGTCCGGGACCAACTTTGATGGCGACATAGCGCACTCATGTGGCAACAATTAATAAATAATAAGATCTATACGTCTAATAGATCTATAGGATTAAAAAAAAAAAACTGATTGGAGTGATAATATATCTAGGGGCGGCTTGAGCACCCAGGCCCCACTGGGTCTGTCCCTGGTTCTATATAAAAGTATACATATTTCATGGTATTCTTGCATTCCTTTATAGTTGTTTTGTTTTTTTTTATTGGGAATTTCAAAGTTACAAATTTTTATAAAATAATAATGTGTGATTTGTATTTACTTTCTTATGTGTTTCAACTAGTATTTAAAAATAATTGCATACTTTATTTTAAAATGGCTAAAATGTATTTGGATAAAACAGGAAAGGTCAAGTCTTACTGAAGTGGGTTCCGTCCGATCTTTCATCTCACAAATACTGACTATCTTCTAATTATTTTTAATTGCATCCAGCCACAGAGATAAAAAAAACCAGCTCTTCTTCATCTTCCCTTTTAGCATCTTTTTTTTTTTCATTATAATCTTACTACTTCTGATTCCATTCTGCTCAATATATGTTCAAGCCATCTCAGAATATTTTCTCTCATTTTGTCTACAATGGAAATCACGTCTAAGTTACTGTTTATGTATTCATTCCTTATTTTATCTTTTCTCGGATCATCACTCATCATTTTGGGCATTCTCATCTCTGTTACACTAATTCTCTCTTATATTTTTTGTCCTACACACCGAACCATACAACATAGTCAATCTCACCATACTATTGTAGAACTTATATTTAAGCCTCATTAAAATTCTCTTGTCATCCAGAACAACTGGCGCTCTTCTTTACTTTATTCAATTACACTTAATTCTATGTATCATCTCCTCGTCAAACCACCGCTCTTTTGTATAAAGATAAAAGATACTTAAAACTTTAAACCTCGGCTATTACATTACCACCAGTTGACATTAGCTTACTTGCCCTGTTCTTCCAAAACTTTGCTGTCATATACTCTGTTTTAATTTTATTGATTCTTAGATTCTTTCCTTCAAATTTTATTCTCAATTCTTCAGGTCAATTGATAACTTGTTCCAGAATTTTTTCTTATTCAAGTTATATTATCTGCAAACATTTTGCCTTACAGTACCTAATTTTACTTCTATTCCCATGCAATTAGGTATGACAATTAACCGAAAATTTTTTTAGAACATAAATATTACACCAGCTGTCGACTTGACGTAACACTATTTGTTGCCTCTAACGACTGGTAGAAATACTGTGAGAATTTCCTGAACCCCTCCAACAAGAATATTATATAAAAATAAAATAAAATAACTCACTTAAACATGTCTCTAAAAAAAAATTACACATAAATATATATTTTTAGCGTTTCAAAATAATAATGAACAAAACAGTTAAAATAATTTACATTATGACTACATTAATTTCAATATCTGTAGCCTACAGGACACTTATTCACTGTAATATAAATGTTGACACTTTTATTAAAACNTTTACAGTAAATAAGAGTGTCTAGATCATGGACTGCAACGGAATGGTAAATCCACATTCTGTATCATAAGAATAATACATATTTAATAAGGAATAATGAAATAAAAGTATTATAATCTAAACCAGTTACTTAAATTTAATATCATTGATTCTCACCGTTAATATTTTCGACATCTGTAAATATACAAGAAATATAACATCTTATAATCTAATATAAAAAATATACGTATAATATTAATATGTTATAAAAATGATATTATTATAATGTAATTGTTCAATAATTTAACGAAGATTTTATGATATTTGTCTATGTCAATTATACCGACAGCGATTTTCACATCAATGAATTGGATTAGTGTACATTTTTATGTTCTGCATAGAACACTACTGCGCACGTGACAAGTTTGTTTCCGTTCCTCTTTCTTGCAGGCTATCAGGTTTTCGCACTCAATATATTAATAATTGCATAAGCCTCAAACGCACAAAGGCTCTATCATTTAATGATAATATAATTGATATCAAGAGATAAACTACTAGAGTTATTCATGATTGATATTGTTTTGTTATCATAATGATAACATCTATTGATCTTTTAAATACCAACCTATATTTTTGATTCGGCAGAAGGAGTTGTAAAGCATAATAATTGATATATTTGATATATCAAATATTATATATTATCATATATTTGATTATATATAATTGATAAATAAACTAAATAATTAACAGTGGAATATCTCGTAAAAGGGTTTAAAAATTATGAAAATCAATGTTTAACACAATATATTTATATGTTTATTAATTGATAATTATAACCTAACCTAACATCCGTAAATCTATGTTTTTCTATTTGTAATAACAGTCGATTTCTTAATTTTAAAATATAGTAGCAATATTATTCAATAATTCTTGAATGTTCACTTAATTTATTTATTTGTTGTCGACTATCAAATCAGTCCATAACAGGAAAATATTGTTTTCGACATTCAACAATACAATTATACGGAATATGACAAAAATAACAAGAAGGAAAAATATCCAGCGATTACAAATAATAATATAAAATATGTATAAGGTACAAACAATTTTAGGGCTAGGACATAAAGAAGAACTGATATAGTAAAGATACCAGAAAATGCGGATTCATCCACCTTGATACAGAATAAAAAAAAAAACCGTGACGCTCATATTCTTCTCGTTTGTTATTCAGCGTAAACATGTCATACAGAAAAGCAAAATGAAAATAAAACTCAAGAAAATATAAAGCCAATCAGTAATAGATTAACTTATTTGATATAACGGTTTTAATTTGTCTATATAGCAACCGTAAAAGACAATTATAATTAAATAAATAATCCAGTAGATATCTACAAAAACAAAAGAACAAAAAAAAAAAAAAAGTTTACATAATCAAAAATATATTTTCTTTAATTGAAAATTAAATAATATAACTAAAAAACTGTTTAAATTACACACAATGATATTATTACTTTAAATTTGTTTGGCTTATGTTTTCCAACATAAAAATTGTTCCAATAGAAAAATGACAATTGATCGATTTTGTTCTTTAATATACAGTTAAGGGAAATAGGAAATCATTTATAGATTGGGTTAAAGCCTTTTTTTTGTTGAATTTTTAATCTAATTGGTGACCAAAACAGTATTTTTTTGATTTGATTTATAGTTTTTTTTTTAACGATTGAGCGAAACAGAAAAACACGTAGGAAGAAATGGTAATTTTACACTAAATAAAATACTTAGTGTAAATTACTAAGTAGGCACTATGTTACTATTAAGGCATATTATATTTTAATTATGTAAGAAACGGTAATACTTCACGGATACCGGAAAGTGCACGAACTCCGTCTTATCGCGATAAAGCCAACTTCATATTCTATGTCCGTAAGTCATATGTATGCATAAATCATAAATATTAATAACAAAATCAATCAATCTACAACTATTTGTAATATTAAGATTCTGAGGTGAGGTTAAATATATTCATAANCAAAAAATTTAATAATGAATTGATGTTAGATAAGTCGGTCATTTCAGAAATCTTCTAGGGAATATGAAATAATTCAAAGACTCCATTGGATTATTTCGAATACTATTTCTAATTTCTTTTAGCTAAGAGATTTTATTCAAATCATTATCATCACTGGTTACGAAGGCATTGCACTGTCTCATCATATTTAACGTCTTGCTGTGGGATCCCCTACTTCCACTACCGACATTATTATACTCAGTATATACACATATTTATAAATTATCACACTACATTTAAGATAGAAATCGGTACTATTTAAATATACCAATATACGAGTATTATTGCATTGAGTTCTTTAACAAAACGCAANTAGGGAATATGAAATAATTCAAAGACTCCATTGGATTATTTCGAATACTATTTCTAATTTCTTTTAGCTAAGAGATTTTATTCAAATCATTATCATCACTGGTTACGAAGGCATTGCACTGTCTCATCATATTTCACGTCTTGCTGTGGGATTCCCTACTTCCACTACCGACATTATTATACTCAGTATATACACATATTTATATATTATCGCACTACATTTAATATAGAAATCGGTACTATTTATATATACCAATATACGAGTATTATTGCGTTGAGTTCTTTAACAAAACGCAAAATAAATACAATATTATACAAATGTACCAACATTTCGACGATGAGAATATGTATGCATTTTGTTTATTTTAATGTTTTTTTTTTTATTAATTTTTGTGATAATCATAGTGGTTGGTATTTAAACGTGTACTAAAAATTGTATTAACAAATTCTGTTGAAACATCTTTTCGTAAATATATATTTTTCGGTTTTATTTTAAATTAGTTTTCAAATCCCGACCGTCATTTTTTTTTTACACATTATGGATAATTTACTGGATACCAGGATATAAATTAATAATTAACTCCCTACATATGAAAATATTCTCATTGTAATATTGTATACAAACTGATCTTACCTGAATTTTCTTTTACTACAATATTGTACAGAGCAGAAGCAAAAATTAGTGAAATATTGTATTAGATTTCAACTAAATATCATTATTACCTATCTATAGATAAATATAGAAATAAATGTCTAAAAATATCATCGATGTAATATTTATATATCAATATATTTACTATGCATTTTTATATCGCATCCACTTAATGAAGTTGCCCGGTTCCCCCGAAAAGAAGGGTAACAAAATTATAAAATTGTAGAGCGGCTTGTATCATAAATGTTTTAAAAAACAAATTCCGGTTAAAGTTAATACTTTTAATAATACATTACATTAATACAATTTTTATTTCACATTATGGTTATTTCATTGATATCAGGATTTGAATGTTAATTACTAATTAACTCCCTATTATAAAAATATTTTATTTATAATATTGTACACAAACTGAACTTACTTGACCATCCAGAAACTAAAATAATTACATAGTTGAAATAAAAATTAGAAAATTATTGTATTAAATTTCAACTAAATATCATTACTACCTATCTGTAGATAAATATAGAAATAAATCTTTAATAATATTAGCGATGTAATATTTTTAAATCAATATATTTATTATGTTTTTATATGTCGTATGCACTTAATAAAGGTGCCCGTTTCATGATATGGGAATCAATTTCATAAAATGTTTTTAACATTTCCACAATGTGCATAAAATTAATTTTAACCATATAGTGGAATATTTTTGTTTTATTATAAATTTCGTTGTGAAATAAATTACCGTAATAATGTTAGACAACAGGTAATTTATCTATTAATTATTTACTTATTGTTACACTTTTCTGTTATTTAAAATACATACAAATAAGAATTTTTTGTTTTTTTTTAATAATAAAATACATAAAACTTATTTTTAAAATTTTTTTTATATATTATTTTTTATTTTGACCTGGTTGAAAGCTATGACAAACATATTACATAACATTTTTTTAAAGTGAAACTTGTTTACCAAGAGTACGAAAAAATAAGATTATCGGACTTCATGGTAGTCGTCACGGTCGGCCGTCACGGGTGGACTTGGTTACATGATGATTGAGAATACTTGAAATTGAACACAGCGGAAATAGCCGTTGAACCCCCCCCCAAAAAAAAAATAAGTACTATTGTAAAAAAAATTATGTGCAGCTTTGCCGAACTATATTCAAGTCTATACTCTTAAACAAAATTATGAAAAACGTATGGAAAATTTAAAATAAAACGGTATTTCTGGGAGTTTAAAACAATTTAATTCCCACCACATTCAAAAGATACAAGTCTTAGTTATTTTTCATTTTATTTAGGTATAAACTTAAAAAATTTAGCACATAAAACGCTTTATACAGGAAACCTCCTACTGAGTAAAGCGTATATTTGGATTATTCACTGCAAAAAATTCGGTATCGTTGTATTTATAAAAAATATTACTATTGATTACGTATTTTGCATCTGTTAACACACACACTAAAGACACTGAGAATGGATACAATCAGAAAACTATTCTGTAAAACTTTTAATATATAGTGCAGGTCGAACCCTTCTTTCAGATTCACTTTTATACCTATGAACGCAACCTTGGATCAAGCGGTTTAGGACATATTTCGCTTTTAAGTTTAAGATGGAAAGCTGTAAAGGTGCATTCATTATAATCACGCCACGAGCCGTACCGCCGAATTAACTACTCTCCTCTGACACAAACTTAACATAAAGATATCTCGTAAACGGATTGACGGCTACCGAAAACTTCCATACTACAATTCATTTAAATTAATAATCAATCTATTCATAGACTTTATAATGTAGGTTACTAAGAATAACAAAAATAAA